AACTCTTCGGAGGCTTTCGCTCGAAACGTCGAAGTTGTGCTTGCATTTTTCAGGCAGTTGTATCCTTATAAATCCACAGCTTTCAAAATGTTAATACCCCTTTGTTGTTGCACTTTTTTTGCTTTTAGGTGATTCCTCAGTAGTTGTTTCCGAAATGAGAATTTGCGGGCCAGGGCTGAAGTCTGCGATGCACTTACAGTATAGGAAAATCAGAAAAAACTCGAACTCACCGAACTCGTTCAGAAGACAAGCACAATATTGAATTGAATTTTATTCAAAAAACTGATATTGTAACCCAAATGGTTAAACTACGTCAGAACCAGTGAACTGGTCAGAACTTATATCTGCAGTTAAACCAAAATTATTTACAAACATCAAAACAGACTACAAACTAAGTTTAAGTTACTGTTGTAAAACATTTGTTAGAAAAACGAGTTCCTAAACCGTTCAGTCGTGCAAATATCCCGCTTCGTTCAAATATCCCACTTCTTTCAAATATGGCTCCATCTTGGCCCGATTACGAGACATGCGCAGTAAATGTGCGTAATGCAAAACTGAGGAATTACCTTAAATTTGTCGGAAATATGTTCATAGCTACCAGGGTTTTATCGTCATTTCTTTATTACACAGTTATAAAACCCCAACTGTCCGCCATTGCGTAATTTTCTGATCTGACAAGTTGGCCTGAGTATCAGGCCATATTTCCCTTCCTTGAATGCGGGTGGATGGAAGGGAAAAGGGGCCTGACACAAATCCTGTCTGGGCGCATGTAAAAAAGCAAAAATTCGGCTCTTCCCCACATTGGTCTATCAGATAAAGAAATTTTAACGTCTTTTTGATTGGTTACTGCTAATTAGATTATACTAGTATTGTTCATGATATATTTAGTAGTTTTAATTGAGGTTACATAGAAACCGTCTTAATGTATCGAAATGTCTTAAATATAGAAACAAGTCTTTCGATAATACCTTTTACCCTTTGACTTGATTCCTTTTTCCCTCTTACTCTACAGCTTACAAATACAGGCGAAAGTGATCTACAATCCATTCAACTTTCTATCTCTTATCCTTTAAAAAAATTCCAAGGAAAAGAACATGAGTATATCGTATATCCGATCAAAATTGAGGTAAGTTCCTCGTTTGAAGCCTTGTGACAAAGTTCTTGTTTCCCCCTTTGGCCTGCTTGACTTGTAACTTTGTAAGGGACTAATCGACCAGGCGTCTAACTCTTGTTTAGTTCTGTAAGTAAGAGCAATCACTGTATCTGTAGCGTGTAGCAGTGAGCTCCATATTATATTAAATCCGTAGTGAGAACTCGAGTCCAAAAAGTGAAGCCAAGGTGGAAGGTCCACATCAGCTTTTTAGTTGACATCTGTAGTTCAACCTGCTTTATCAAATTATGAATGCATGAACGAATGAATGAATGAACGGATGAATGAATGAGCTATTGGACGTCGGTTTCAGGCCCTGCCTATCGTTTTTAGTGCAAAGTTGCTTTGCACTATTGTTATGAGAAAAATTCAATCCAGTGACCGATCGATGGATGGATCGATCGATCGATCGTGTAAACAATCCAGGGGGGAGCTTGCAAATTATTTTATATTACGTTTTCTAGAGCTTCGCGACGTTCTGCCAACTAATCGTTTATAGCTGTTTATAGATTATAAAATCTATATTTGTATTCATGATGGTACATGTTCTTACTTATTTTATCCAACATTTAGAGAAGTTATAACCAAATTATTGTTGCATTTCAAACACTTGCTATTATAAGATTTTGCCTGCAACATAAAACAAATTAAATAAACATGTACTCTCATGTAATATCATTTCACAATGGCCGGCATGGACGAGCGGTGACTGTTGAGCGGCGGTGTGAAATTGTGTGGACTAGAATATATTACAACTGATGTTGACAGTATTATAGCAGAGGTTTATCTATCAAAGATACGGCGATGTATACATGGATAGGCTAAGTGCCAGTGGATATAGTTACCTCCGCCAGGAGGTTATGTAATCATCTAAGTTTGTATGTTTACCTCCGCCAGGAGGTTATGTAATCATCTGGGTTTGTGTGTGTGTGTATGTGTGTTTGTTTGTTTATTTGTGAGCACGATAACTCAAGAAATACCAAACATATTCATACGAAATTTTTTGAATGCATTTCCCATCGGCTAAGGAAGAATTGATTTGGTTGAATTTGGTTAAAAATTGAACGGGAAATGAACAAAATTTTGTCTTGCTTTTCCCGGTCAATTAAAAAAACTTACTGAATGCGTAATTAGGATGTGTGATAATTTATGCACCAGTATACAGGGTATATAAAGGTATACAAACAATGGTATAATCTTTTTAGATTGTATACAATTGTAAATCTCACTTATATAAGGGAGGCTGCTCAAAAATCATTGTGCTTTACAAATATATTCTAATTTCGTATTATTATATAAACATAAGTGTTATATAGAGTTTTTGGCCATTGAGAAAAATCGTATTTAAACACACGTAAAAAATACGATATTTTTACGTGTGAAAATATCATTTGTTGTAAAACGCATTGCCACGGACGTTTTATTGTTTTTCACTGAATTTTGTTTATATAATAAACAGAAAAATACATGGATGCTTGGAAATATCAGATTTATTTCTCGTGTTGAGCATGTTCAACACTCGAAATAAATCTGGTATTTCCGCGCACCCATGTAGTATCTATATAATAATATAGGTCAATAGTTATATATACACGCTGGCAATATTTTAGGTACGTTTTATACGCCGAATTTCGGTGGCGTCGAATGCGATTAAGACAATAGTCAATGGATAATAATGAGATGATAAACCTCATTAAGCTTCAGCCTACATTATCTATTGTCTTCACGCGACCGAAATTCAATGTAGGCTTACGGAGTTACACATCGTTGCGTTCAGCAAAGTGCTAGGCCATTCGTTCACACTTTTCATATAATACGCATGCGCAGAGACACATCTGCGTGTTCATTCTTTCTAGGCATGCGCATAAATCGAATTTTCTCCCACAATTGAAATGTTCAAGATTGCGGAATAAAAACTAGCAAAGTAATTGTTCAAAAGTGTGCGGGACGGTGTCGTCAGATACTGTCCATAGTTGTGCTGATGATTTTTGATGAGGCACAGCTCTCCAATGAGAGGTCTATGGTAATGAGGTACGCTTTTGTCTTCTAAATTTCCATCATCAAGTGTGCAGGGGAAAATTCAGTGCTTCCATGACCAAAATCGAGATTTCTTTTTTCGATGATGAAAATTTTCTGGATTTTTTTTCCGGATTTCCTGATATTTCCTTAAATTTCTAGCATAAAAGTAAACTTAAAACGTTGGCGCAATACGCTTCGTTTTCGCGTTTTATTCTCCATTAAGTCTTTTAGTAATTTTGCGACAGGAAATGTCAATGGACTCAATGGCTAATGAAAATATCAAAGACTGTTTCAACTTTTTATCAAACCAATACTTGCTATGTGACTATAAAAAAGTATAGTATAAAAAAATAGCAAATAACAAGTAACACTTTATGAAATAGGTTCCAATGTCTTATCATGGCTTGTTAAGTGTTTTAATAAATTATTTTCTCAGTTCAGCTACCTCAACATCTGTCTTCATTGCTTTATGGAGTTTTAGCATCGAACTCTAAGTCGGAATTGCTATTATTCATTATTAACAATTTTTCCGGTTTTTTAAAATTACATTTTAGATTTTACAGTAACATTTTAAATGATTTACAATTACGAAAGAAGGATCCTGCACTTTGGGGAACTGGTCAGCGGCAGCAAAGACAAGTGCAAGTACGTCGTGTAACACTGCAGAAACAAACTGATTTGTTAGTTATTACACGAAAATGAAGAAAATTAATTCTCGTTTCAAGATTTCGCATTAAATTCGTATCAATTTCCTGAGATTTCCTTAGATTTTTTCTTATCCTGAGAATTTCCTTTTTAGCTCAGGATTTCCTGAGAATCAGGAAATTTCCTAAGAAATGGAAACACTGCGAAAATTTCAACTAAATTTTCCGCGGAAATTTAGAAGGGAAATTTAGAAGACAAAAAGCGTATGCAACGGAAATGAGGGAAATACGTGATTAAACGCCCCTTTGGGTTGTAGAGATCATTGATTTGTAGTTAATTTGTGGTGTGTTGTGTTCAATAAGTTGGTTTCAAAAAGTTATTGTTAAATATTAGCATTGAACTTCATTAGTAGGGAAAAAGAAATTTGTACTGAATTGTCCCCGAGCCGACGGCGCGAAGCGCCGTGCGAGGGTACTAATTCCCCCCGGCTACTTACACCCGGGGAAACGAAAGCATTAGCGAAGTCTAAAGTTCACCAATGATCGCGGGCGTGGCTCACTATGCGTGGGTGGTCATCCTCACTGATCTCAAAAATATGGCGGACTGTCATGAATAGCGAACACTGTGATTGGTCCAATTTAAAGTTTGCATTATAACGACTGGATGACGACAGCGAAATAGCAAACATTTCTTGATTTGATGATTGATACATTTCATGCAAATATTTTCATTTTTGCTCGCACTCTTGCGATTTTGTAAATTTCAAGAAAGAAAGGGCGAAATAATCGGCTAAAAGAAGGGAGCCGACGTTAACGAAGGTAAATTTGTTTTAAATATTGATTTTATAATTGCTTTAAAACCAGACGGCCTTTGCGTATATAAAACAACTAAACAAGACAGCATATAATTTCAGTGTATCTTTAATATTGATTCCCTTTTTTATTATATTGAATTTTTTAAATAAAAAAGAAAGCAAAGTTATTTGCATGCAAAAATTTGAAATCAGTTTATTGCAAACTCAAAGTTTATCGATAAAGCCATTTAATTAATAAAGGCAGTTTAGTTTTGTAAAGAACACTTTAAAACGTTTTGCGAAGCGTTTGTGGTTGAATTTTACCTTAAATTGAAGCTTATATTACGTAAAATATCATACCTAACGTATATATGTTGGAAAATTGATAATTTTGTAATTAAAAGTGATATTTTTAGGCGATTTTTCATTTGTAAGAATATTCTTAAAAAATTATCGTGTTACTATGACAACTACTTTAGATACTTCATGTTCGGAAAATACAATGGTTTTGTCAGCAAGGCGAGGGTTTCTGCATGCATGTATTTTCTAGTACGTATATTATACTGGTTTTTTTCTTTATAATTATAGGAGAGAGAAGGGAGTGGATTGTGTCATAAGACAGGTGTATTGAATCCTGCCAACTTGAACTTACCTACGGTATGTACTGTATAGACTCCATTCCCCCGAGTACCCAGTGTAACCGTCGTATATAACATTGCCATTAAGCCAATTCGGAGTCTCCACTGCGCATTCGAATGATGCGTTCTGCGCAGGGATAAATTGCGGTTGAACTATAACATGGAGCCGAGACTGGAACAACCTCGTACCCAAGGTCTTTCCTCTTGGGGAGCAAAGACCCTGGCAGACGCTGGTCACGTGATTTGCTAAAATCTAGCAGATTTTTAATTAGCAATTCAAGATGAGGTCAATAAATATTTCATATTTGGATGATTTTTATAGTTTAATTTATAATTTGCTTTTTGTATGATTGTCGTAAAGGAATTCAAGATAGTTAATTAGAAATCTGCTAGATTTTAGCAGATCACGTGACCAGCGTCTACCAGGGTCTTTTCTCCACAAGAGGAAAGAGCCTGGGTACGAGGTCAAGACTGGAAGAATTAGAATATACATGTCAAAATTTTCAACTGTTCAGTCATCATTTCAATATGCAAAAAGTTGCTCAAAGAACAATTAGTTTCCGTAGGTTGATTCCCTTTATATTAAGGCTGCTCTCCAGTCACGCGTTTTTCATACGTGCGTTCTGTACAAATGCACATCAAATCATTCACAAAACTATATGCTTTCCTTTTATTCATTCAGTTATTTCATAAATAACATTTAAAAAGATTTAAACTTTTCCGTGCGTATACGCACGTATGAAAAACGCGTGACTGGAGAGCAGGGGCCGGTTGTACGAAAGGCGTTTGAGGGGCTATTTCCATGACTGGTTTTTACCTCTGTTTACATGGAAAATTCCAGCCCTACATCAGCCTGCGCGCCCGCGCATAGGGCTCAGCCTGCGCGCCCGCGCTTTGGCGCGAAATTCACAATGGCTGTCAACAATGCTGGCAACAAGAAAAAACTCTTATTGGTTTTCACCGTAGCACTTCAAATATCTTTAGTTTTACCAATGATTTTTCAACCATATACTCTGCTGTTGCTTTGGAAAATAAACGAAGAGAACAGGAACCGTCAACTAGCGTCACTGCTTCTACGTAAACGCTCATATTTTTTAAGAAAGCTAAAAATCAGTCGACAAAGAAGGTTAGCAAGACGAAAGAGACAGTTTTGGTTCACGTCAGGTAGAACAGATCAATGGTGGGACAATATTCTTGAAGGGAAAATGCCTGAAGAACAGTGGATAAAAAATTTTCGAATGACCCGTGAAGAATTTTTTAAACTTGTTCATGAGCTTCGACCATATATTTCCCCTGACGAGTCATCATCAAACTACAGAGCTTTAACAGTAGAAAAAAACAACTTGCTGTTGCACTGTATTACCTCAAAGACACGGGCTCTTTGGCCATGACAGCTAATACATTTGGTATTGCGATTTGTACAACTTCACGCGTTATTTTTCAAGTATGCCAGACAATTTCAAGTGTCCTAGGACCCAAGTATTTGCGCTTACCCAAAACCACTAGTGAAATGAGACAAAAAGTGTCTGAATTCGAGGCGAAATTTGGAATGCCGCAAGCATTCGGATGCATAGACGGTACACACATTCCTATAAAACGGCCAATAAAAAACTCACAAGACTATTTTTCCTACAAAGGGTACTTTTCTTTAAACGCTCAAGCTGTATGCGATTTCTCGTGGTGTATTCTTGGATGTGGAATGTCAGTGGCCAGGTAGTGTCCACGACGCAAAAATGTTTGCTAATTCTTCAGTGAATTGCAAGCTTCGAGATGAACAGCTGCCAAAAACATTTCAAACAATAATCCCTGGCTCTGACAAGATTCCTAATTATTTAATAGGAGATCCTGCCTATCCGCTCACCCCATATTGCATGAAAGAGTACGAGACATGTAACAAAAAAATGCTCAAGTTGTGTTTAATGGACTTCTCCGTTCAGCTCGCAACCCGATAGAATGTGCCTTTGGCAGACTGAAGGCCCGCTGGTCTATACTAACTCGCAGTATTGATTGGAAGTTTGAATCGATACCCACAGTCAGTGCTGTAGAAGTGGGGAGTCGCTTGGGGGCGGAGCCCCCCTTCTTCATACTCTGGGGGGGCTGAGCCCCCTTTCTACTTTAGAAAATCGAGAATTTATTATGTCACAGAGGAGATTCAGTCATCTGGGGATACTAAATACCGAATGTACTCATGTCCAAGAACGACAAGAGAAAACGTAACTTTCGTTATTTACGGAGCAGAATCTCTGTTACAATCTCAACAAAAATATTTAGTTTTCATTTAAAAAACTCCAGCAGAATTAGTCAGACTTTTGAATTATTTGAATTAGTTTGGACTATCACAGACTTTTTAAAATACGTTAAGTTATTCCTTGCACATAATTATGTAGATTAGTTCAGTTTTCATTAGTACGTACGCTGGACAGGTGTTTGTTTCCATTTATTATTTTCTTGTTATGTATTAGTGGGCTCGCACTTTACAGAAAAAACATTTCTAAGAAAGGTACGGACGATAAGTATGGAAAATGCAATTTAAATTACGCTTAAATAAGGCGTTAAATTTCGAAGAAAGAAATATATTCAAGGAAAATGTACTGAGCGAATAAATTTTACCCATATATAATGGCTTGCTTAAGAGTCGTTCAAGAAGTTTTTAAGAGAAACTAGCAGGTTTTATTGCATTTCCGGGGCTCTGAGAATAACGATATAGTTCTTATTGGTGTTTTAGTGTGTGTGTGTGTCTTCTACACAACGTGTCCTATATATATATTTAATTAGTTCCGACCGTATAGTCCTGGTGCCGAGTGAATGACATGACGTCATTACTATACCTCCCAGTCTCAGAAGGCTCACGCCTTCGGCGTTCGCTAGCCCCCCCCCAATCAAAAAATGCCGCCGCGGTAAGGGCTATAGGTTTACCCCTGGTCATCGTATGGCTCACCCCTGGTCGTCATATGACGTCACGTATTTTTTACGATTCACGGCTTCACGCTCGTCAAGAGAGCCCCCCCCTCTGGTAAACTTAGTTC